AGAAAGGTAAGCAAGGACCAGTGCCTTGAGGCCTTATAAGGAGTTAGGATTTCATTCTCAATGCAGTAAGCAGCCATTGAGGATATCAGCTGACAAGTGAGGAATAGTTCTGCAAGCCACAATGAAATTTGTGAATCTGCTACATGTTTCCTCACTTTACAACCTGAAATAAGATCCTTTCCCTCTCTTTGCTGCATAATGAAATCTTCATCCCTTAAGATAAAGTTTAAACTTCCCTTCTCCAGTGAAGGAGAATGTTTAAGAAAGGTTGGTACTGGAATTAGATGTTTTAGTGGAGGAGTTGGAGCCCTTGAGTGAATAGGTTGTCCAAGGTAGACACTGAAGAAAGGAAAGAATGCAGAGAAACAGTACAGGCAGTAGAGAACATGAACAAGTAGATTGAGGAACAGCATATGTGTGTACATAGAATATACACAACATAAAATTTATCATTTTAGCCATTTTTAAGTGTACAGTTCTCTAGCATCAGTACATTCACATTGTTTTACCACCATCACCACCATCCATGTCTAGAATTTCTTTTAGACATTATAAATTAGTAAATTTTAATTCAGGAAGCACAGGTTACATGGTAAAATTTTTGTTTTAGATCATTTACATTAGAAATGGTAAGCTCTTGAAAATATTAGCAGCCTTTAATAAAAGGTAAACTAAGTTTAATATAGTCATGAAGCAAGTGGTTATGAAATACCTTGTGACTGGGAGAACTTTCTGACTTCCTTACTCAACAGAATTTGTAAAGAAATAATCACTCTACAAGGAGGAGAAGGCTGATAGCAGGGTGACAATCCACTAAGTCTTTGTGCGTGCATATTAAGTTGCTTCAGAGTCTTTAATACACAACTAAAGTGAATAACTGAGTTGGTTAGCATGGATTTTAGATATTTTTCAAGACTGATGTCAATGACAAATAATCTTACTAATTAACTAACAAACAGTAATTTGAAAGATCCTTTTAAATATATTGTTATAAACTTCATGCTCACAAATGAACATTGTGTGCGGAGCTAATTAGGTCACTTTTCAATTTTTCAAGATTTTATTTTATTTTATTTTATTTTTTTGGTCATTGTCTTTTTTTTTTTTTTCATTTATTTTTATTAGTTGGAGGCTAATTACTTTACAGCATTGCAGTGGTTTTTGTCATACATTGAAATGAATTAGCCATGGATTTACATGTATTCCCCATCCCGGTCCCCCCTCCCACCTCCCTCTCCACCCCATCCCTCTGGGTCTTCCCAGTGCACCAGGCCTGAGCACTTGTCTCATGCATCCAACCTGGGCTGGTGATCTGTTTCACCCTAGATATACATGTTTCGATGCTGTTCTCTTGAAACATCCCACCCTCGCCTTCTCCCACAGAGTCCACAAGTCTGTTCTATACATCTGAGTCTCTTTTTCTTTTTTTGCATATAGGGTTATCGTTACCATCTTTCTAAATTCCATATATATGTGTTAGTATACTGTAATGGTCTTTATCTTTCTGGCTTACTTCGCTCTGTATAATGGGCTCCAGTTTCATCCATCTCATTAGAACTGATTCAAATGAATTCTTTTTAATGGCTGAGTAATATTCCATGGTGTATATGTACCACAGCTTCCTCATCCATTCGTCTGCTGATGGGCATCTAGGTTGCTTCCATGTCCTGGCTATTATAAACAGTGCTGCGATGAACATTGGGGTGCACGTGTCTCTTTCAGATCTGGTTTCCTTGGTGTGTATGCCCAGAAGTGGGATTGCTGGGTCATATGGCAGTTCTATTTCCAGCTTTTTAAGAAATCTCCACACTGTTTTCCATAGCGGCTGTATTTTTTCAAGATTTTTAAAAAAAAATCACAGGAAACAAATACAATGAACCAGTAGCTATCTCCACTATTGATGACAAGAAAGGCAATAGATAATACCAAAAATCTTTATTTTTTTAAATTATTGGATAATTTATATACAGTAAAATTCACCCTCTTCAGGGTACAGTTCTGAGTTTTTGACAATGCATACAGTCATTTAACCAGCACAACAATGCAGATATGAAACATTCCCATCACCTTTGACAATTCTGTTGTACCCTTTTGTACTCAATCAGTTCCTCCAGCCTCCTGCAACCTTGGATCTAGTTTTTGTCTCTATGTGCTTCAGTACTTTGGCCACCTGATGCAAAGAACTGACTCATTGGAAAAGACCCTGATGCTGGGAAAGATTGAGGGCGGGAGAAGGGGATGACAGAGGACGAGATGGTTGGATGGCATCACCGACTCAATGGACATGAGTTTGGGTAATGTCCAGGAGTTGGTGATGGACAGGGAGGCCTGGCATGCTGCAGTCCATGGGGTCGCAAAGAGTCAGACACGACTGAGTGACCGAACTGAACTGTGCTTGCCTTTTCCAGAATGTCATATGGAATCTTAAATGTGTGGCATTTATTTATTATTTTTGGCTTCACTGGGTCTCTGTTGCTGCCTATGGTCTTTCTCTAGTTGTGGGTGAGCAGGACCTACTCTAAGTTGTGGTGTGTGGGCTTCTCATTGTGGAGGCTTCTCTTGTTGTGGAACATAGACTCAAGGCACCTGGGCTTCAGTAGTTGCAGCAATGGGCTTGGTAGTTGTGGCTCTTGGGTTCTAGAGCACGGGCTCAGTAGTTGTGACCCATGGGTTTAGTTGCTCTGTGGCTTGTGAAATCTTGTGGACCAGGGATTGAACCCATGTCTTCTGTATTGGCAAGGGATTCTTATTCACCGTGCCACCAGGGAAGTCCTCTAGTGTTTTAAGTTGGCTTCCTTCTAACACACATGCAAGTGTCTTTAGTTCATTTATTGAGTGTTGTAAAGACATATTTACCACAGTTTGCTTATCTCTTCACTGATTGAAGGTCAATTGTGTATTTTCCAGCTTTTGGTGGTTATGAATAAAGCCTCTGTAAACATTCATGTACATACGTGTTGTCGGTTCACATTGATATATGGGAAAAACCATCACAATATTGTAAAGTAATTATCCTCCAATTAAAATAAATAAATTAAAATTTTTCATTTGCAAGTTTCTGTGAATGTCAGTATTCGTTTCACTTGGGTAAGTACCTAGGAGTGTCATTGCTGGGTCATATGGAAGTGCTGGTTTAATTTTATAAGAAACTGCCATGACTACTAGTGAGTAGCTTAAATTTAGTCGCTAGTTTGTGGCAGATGCCGAATATAATTTCAGATTATCCATTGTGAACAATAAGAGTCAATGATATTTTGTTTAAAACTGTAATTATCACTTCCTAGCTGCAAATCCTATTGTGGTTTTTACTGTATAGATTCAAACATGAATTTTATTATATCTTTATTGTGCAAAAGAGAATTGAATTTCTTAGAGGTTATTATTTTACTAGTGTTACTGGCCAAGATTTTTAACCTGTTAAACCTAGGTTTCTCTTCGGCAGAATGGTAATTTTTACTCCGTACCTTACCTATATTATTTATTCCTTTTGCAGAAGAGCATTCTCTTTTGTAAAATATTGACAAATTATTATTACCTCACAGTGAGGATTTAATGAAATGCTGCATGGAAGGTGCTTACCAGAGCACCAGGCACAAAGTAAATGTTAGCTATAAAAACCGAAAAGGTGTTTGTTTGAAAACCAAACCTCAGATTATAATTTAAATGTGGCTATCAAAATTCAGCAAGCACAAAATTGGTGCATTTTATGACAGGGAAACATTCTGCTTTTTGCATTACTGAAATTTGCCAAGGCTAAGTGGTCTTTGGAGTCAAAAAATAAAGAGTTTTCCTGACACAGTGAATTTTAGACAGGTGAAGTTTGTGAAGGACATAAAAGGCAATTCAGGTTTCTTCTCTTTTGACTCCTTTTCTCCATGTTGTAATTGTCTATTCATGCCTAATATGCAGATTTCTTTTATTAAAAATTAAGTTGATAAGTTTACTTCCTGATGAGCCTTATCTGAGTGTGTAATACATAGTTCCCTCATACCACACCTTGAGTGTTCCTACCTGCCCTGATATTAACATTTCCTCAGCAGGTGCAATTGAGTCAGAGCTTTAGGCTGCCATTGAGGATCAAGTCTCTGCCCCAGTGGTTCTCCAACTGTGATTCCTGTAGTGTAGTCCCAGACCAACAAATGTCAGCATCACCTGGGAGCTTGTTAGAAGTGCAGATCCTGGGGTTGAATTCAACTCCTGCGATAGGATCAGGCAGTGTGTGTTTTAAAATTCCATCCAGATGATCTGGTGTGTGAGAACCACCGCATCTGGATACACTAAGGAGGGGTTTGGAAACACTGCCTTTACCTGTGAGAGTGAGGTCGATAGCCTGTTACTTCATTGTGGTTTTATACATATTTTAATTGACACTTTCTGATTTTTCAGGGCTATGAAAAACTTTGAAAGTACTGATAAATGATAAAAACTTATAAAGATATATAAAAATAAGTAAACAGTGCTCTGAAATCACATAAAACTTGGTTTCCTTAGGAAATTTATGAGTAGTAGTTACTCACCCTGCACCAAGGTCGTGAACTGTGCTAAAATAGAAAGTCTTCAGTGGCAAAATAGCATTTGAGATCTTTCAAAATGACATTTTAACATCTTAAGCCTGTGAATCCTGAATCTGTAAACCTCTTTGGTCCAGAGTATGAACCCAGTTCAAGTGGAAACAAACTGTTTTCATGTTGGCTTTTTTAGAGCATTACTAATAGTTAAGGAATTAGTCAGTTTATAAACTGTCCTATTCCCAAGTGTATTTCTAGTACATTTGATGCTTCCATGAGCTTTCATTGTTGTTTATTGTAATAAACAGACATCTCTCCATCCTCATATACTTGGTCTCTTGAAAAACACTATAGCAACCCTCCTCTGGGGAGGAGTGGCATATTATGCATGAGGTTGTCTGTGAGCAGTGAGGTCTGAGAAGGTCCTGAAGTAAGAGTGCATCATCAGAGCTCCCAGCTGACCTGTGGCTGCAAGAGGCTTTAGAGCCAGGAATGAGGTTTTATCTCATGAACTTTAAAAGAGTAAAGCCAAATATTTTCTTATCAAACCAAAGTAGACTAATTTTCAGTATATATGAAATGATGTCCACTGATGACGGTAAGTAGTTTTATTTTCTAGTGTATCTTTTCTCTCTCTTTTTTTTCTCCCTCCAGTTTATGTGGGTCATTTTACAATAGTATGCTTAAAGGGCATGAAAGTTGCAGTTTGGTTTAAGTTAAGAATAAGGTTCACATTATTTTTCAACTTTAACATTCAAATATGTACTCTATTTATGGTTTCTGCTTCTTCCAGGAGGCTGTTTCTGGGTTAGCAAAATACAAGTTTAATAGTTCTGTTTCTCTGACTCATTTACTAACATTAGAAATCTGAAAATTTAGTCACTGACGGGAGAATGCAGAGAAAGAAAACCAGTTTTCTCTTTTTTTCTTTCATTTCTGGTGTGAACAAAGCTAAGAAATATTTGCTACTAAACATTTTCAAGTACTACTGCACAGGATACTGTTCTGTTCAAGCAAACAAATCATCCACCATCCCAGTCTTGTTTTAGCAAAGTTTAGAAGAGTGAATATTACCTGCTTTTCAATATGAGATAGCAAATAGAGACAGGCATGGATGCATTTTTGTTGTTGTTAGTGGTATTAAGCCATCGTTTTTCTCCTCCAATATTCTGGAGTGTATTAATGAAAAATTTATTCTTTTAAAGAGGAATGAAACTCTCTGTGGTAGAAATGTAATCATGTGACAGGAAATTTCTGCTAAAAATATTTTTTAAAACTGAGATGGGTTTAATTCTGTGATGGTATTTTCCCACTCTCTGAGTGCATCTGTTAATCTTCCTGAGGAATGTCTACACTGCTGTCTACACTGTTAAATAAAATGAACTGAACCTTAAAACAGGTAGTCTTCATAGTTTATCAGGATTCTTTTCCTCAAAGTGTCACTCTTTCCTTCTTTAGGCCTTGGGGGGTGGCGGGGGAGAGGGGTGGGAGTTGCACTGAGTATGGAAGTCCAAGGGTGGGGCTGGTCACAGTTCTGCAGCCAGGAAGCTGAGGCTCCCTCCTGCAGCTGCACAGTCTTGGCTGGCTCTTTTCCTGGGTTCTAGTAGTTGCTAGAGATTGAGTAACCCACTTCACGTCTGCCTTGGCTCCCTCCATTATCCAGGAAGAAGCCTCAGTTCCTTTGCAGGCGTTTCACTCTTCTTGCATAAAGTTTAAAGTTTTTGTGATCCCCACATGGTTTACCATTACACTCTAAACATGAAATTTGTTTAAAAAGCAGCAAAGGGGAAGTATTTCCTTTCTCGGTTAGTGAATTCTCTCTTTCTCTGACGCAACATCTGTTTCTTCTCATTACACCTTCAAATAGCTAAGGATCATTGGAGAGAAGTGCTGCTCGAATTTTCTGCTCTAATGGACAACTCCTTATAGTGAGGGGCCACTACAGTGTGGGTTTTAGAAGTTCCTTTTATGGTTTGTAAACTGAAAGGACAGTAATGTAGCACTTCCTGCCAACACCACTGGTTATTTTATTGCTATTAAGTTGTTCAAGAAAAAATTTGAATATGTGCATTTAGTGTACATATTATTTCTAAAAGTTTTATCTTTTTTTAATGACTTGAAGAAACTTTCCTTTTTATTTTTTTCTTTTTCTTAAATAACTTTAATCAAGTTAACAGTAAGCAGTACAATTGTAGGAAAAGTCCCATATTTTACTCTCCTTTTTAAAAACTTTTGCTTATAGACAAACTCACATGAAAACTGAAGAGAAAAATGAAACGTGAAGAGTGACTCAATGGGAAGTATTTGTTAGTCTTTGCAGGGATGATAACGTGGTTTTCATTCAAACTATATGTAAATTAAATTCTAATTCAAGATTAAGATTTAAACTTGTACCCCAGTGCTCATTCCAGCACTATTTATAATAGCCAGGACATGGAAGCAACCTAGATGTAAACAGACAGATGAATAGATAAAGAGGTTTGGAATATTAGTCAGCCATTAAAAGAAACTAATGAGGTAGATGAACTTAGAGTGTATTATATAGAGTGAAGTCTGTTAAAAGAAAGAGAAAGAGAAATATCATATATTAATGCATATGTATGGAATCTAGAAAGATGGTACTGATGAACTCATCTGTAGGGCAGCAGTGGAGATGCAGACATAGAGAAGAATTGTGGACAGGGTGGGATGAATTGAGAGAGTAGCATTGGAACATATACATTACCATATGTAAAATTAGATAACCAATGAAAGTTTGCTATAATATACAGGGAGCTCAAAGCTGGTGCTCTGTGACAACCCAAAAGGGTTGGATGGGGTAGAAGGTGGGAGGGAAGTTCAAGAGCGAGCCATACATATACCTATGGCTATTGTATTCATGTTAATATATGGCAGAAACAAACACAGTATTGTAAAGCAGTTATCCTCCAATTAAAAATAAATAAATTTTTTTTAAAAATTGGAGTCAAAGTCTGAGACTCTTAATAAGGGTCAGATTTGGTGTGTAGGTTGGGGGATATAGAACTGGGACTTCTGGCAGTGGCAGCGCTATGTGGGGACCCAAACAGCTTGAACAGAACCGCTTAATATTGTGACAGGCTTTTTTGTTTTGTAAGGGTAAAGCTATAATTCTGAGGTGGCGGTAGTAGGAAAACGGTTTGAGGGGAGTGGGAAGGGAGTTGGCTCAGAAACGTAGCCAAGATCTAACATTAGGGAGAAAAAGCATTTACTAAATAACACAATTTGTTGTCTTCTCTCTATGTCTCAGTAACTGATATTTCTACCATTTAATGGTCTGTCTCTCACTTTCAAACTACTTCCTCTATGTTAACAAATTTTAATTCACAAAAAGCAGCAGTTTGGGGCAGTAAGTACTGGGAAAGCATGAGCTTTCCTTGCTCCTCCCTCTGTTTCCCCAAATATGCTATTAAGATGAGTTCTACAAGCTTGGTGGCCTGCCAGGGCTAAGGAGCAAGATGGCTTAATCAGTAAGCTAAAAGAAGCCAGCTAATATTTTATCTTGTGTCCTCCTCATCCTTTTTTGTTTGCTTGTTTTTTAATTGTAATTTCTCCTTGTTATTTCCTAGTCTTTAGCAGAAACTGGGAGAATTAGAGGAGGTGGCTATATCCATGCTTCTTAGAAAATTAATATGGAGACAGCAAGAGACCTTTTGAGAAGTAGTTTACAATGTTAAGAAGCAATTAACAAAGCATAATAGACATTCTGTGTAGGTGTTGCTTGTCATATGTCTAGCAGTGTACTTCCCATTTCTTTAATCCCCATAGCAGCACTATATGAGACTGGCATTGTGATTATATCTGCTTTATAAACAAGGAAAGTGATGCTTGGCAGGTTGAGAAATTTGTTCAAGGTCGCATGGCTAACATGTGACGGAACCAGGAGGTAAATCAGAATTTCATGCTACAGCCCATCCTCTTAGCCCTTATGCTGCTGGGTCAGGAGTTCGAGGCAACAAGCAACAACCAGGGAGGGTTTGAGGAAGTTTCCCAGGAAGACTGCAAAATGTAGGGAGAAAGTGAACTTTTTGCTTTTATGCATAATGAGAACTTATGTGTTAAAGAGGAGTGTTCGGCTCTTCAAGAGCTAGGAACTTGGACACATTTGAGTTTAAGACAGACATCAGAAAAATACCTTCAATTTTCTTATGGAATGTATGAAAGTAAAAGTGTTGGTTGCTCAGTGTCTGACTCTTTGTGACCTCGTGGATGTTGCCTTGCTGGGCTCTTCTGTTCTTGGAATTCTCCAGGCAGGAATGCTGGAGTGGGTGGTCATGCCCTTCTCCGAGGGATCCTGCCAGCCCAGGGATCAAACCTGGATCTCCTGCATTGCAGATGGATTCTTTATCATCTGAGCCACCAGGCAAGCCCCATGGAACCTATATTCATCTTTTATTCAACATATACTTGTGAGGAGAGTTTCGGGGGAGAGGGAGAATGTTTTGAGTTTGATGCTTACTGCTAATAGAGCAAATGGACTTAACTAATGTAAAACATTTTTAACAATCAAATATACAATTTTCTGATGTATTTATTTGTAGCAGATATTTCTTATATTCTGGGTATTATAATCCCAGAATATGAAATTATAATTACATTTCTATATATAATTATGTTACTATACATATAGAATATATATAATTATATGCAGAATATTAATATACAGAATATACAATTATGTTATAATTCCAACATCTCCTGGAGTAATATTAATATAACCAGCTCAGAAAAGACTAGGATTAAAAATAAATTCTCTACCCCACTTAGAACTCCCTAACTTACAATCTACAGATAGGCTGGCGTAGATCTAGTGAGGTACAGTAGTCCCTAGGTATCTGCAGGGGACTTCCTGCAAATACCAAAATCCAGGGATACACAAGTCCCTTATATTAAATGGCATATTATAATCAGCACCCAGGATCCAGAGGTTCTGTGTTCTAGGATACGGACAGCTGACTGTACTTTCACTCTGTTTCTCAGTTTATCTGAGTATCTATCTCTTCTTGAGGGAGATTTTCGTTTGTTTTGCTTTTAGCTGTTTCAGAAAAGACTAATTAGTTCAAGCACTGAAATAAAGGACTGTATTAGTTATTCCAACTGTCAAATTCAACCAGGTTAATTAGTCAGAAAAGACTAAAGTTAGTTCAGGCACTGAAATAAAGGACTGTATTAGTTATTCCAACTATCAAATTCAACCAGGTTCAAGTCACTGTGATCTGAAATTGGTGGTAATTTCAATTGGTGGGGTCATTTTTAAGAAAGGGATTTAAAGTCTTTTTATTATGAAGATTGTATAACAAGTGTGCAGAAAGTTTGAAAAGTTGAGAGACAAAATCATCTATTGTCCTACCATCCCCAAAATTCAGTTCGGTTCAATCGCTCAGTCGTGTCTGACTTTCTGTGACCCCACAGGCCTGCAGCACAACAGGCCTGCCTGTCCATCACCATCTCCTGGAGCTTGCTCTAACTCATATCCATCGAGTCAGTGATGCCATCCAACCATCTCATCCTCTGTCGTCCTCTTCTCCTCCTGCCCTCAATCTTTCCCAGCATCAGGGTCTTTTCCAGTGAGTCAGTTCT